GGCCAACAGGTATATGAAAAAATGCTAACTATCACTAACCATCAGGGAAATGCAAATCAAAACCACAAGGAGATATCAAATAACCCCAGTTAGAGTGGTTTTTATCAAAAGGACAAAGAATAATACATGCTGGTGAGATGTGGAGAATGGGGATCTTTTATACTCTATCACTAACCATCAGGGAAATGCAAATCAAAACCACAAGGAGATATCAAATAACCCCAGTTAGAGTGGTTATTATCAAAAGGACAAAGAATAATACATGCTGGTGAGATGTGGAGAATGGGGATCTTTTATACATTATTGGTGGGAATGCAAATTAGTACAGCCCCTATGGAAGATAGTATGGAGGTTCTTCAAAAAGTTAAAAACAGAACTTATGCACATGCTAGACCATATGATCTAGCAATCTCACTACTGGATATATACCCAAAAGAAATAAAATTGTAGTACTGAAGAGATATCTGCACTCCCATGTTTATTGTGTCATCGTTGACAATAGCCAAGATATGGAATCAACCAAGTGTTCATCGGCAGATGTGTGGAAAGAAAATGTGGTATATATGCACAATGGAATAGTATTCAGCCATAAAAAAAGAATGAAATCCTGTCATTCGAGGCAACATGGATGAACCTGGAGACATTATGTTTAGTGAAGTGAGCCAGGCACAGAAGAACAAATACTGCATGATCTCACTCATATGTGAAATTTTAAAAAGCTGATTTCATAAAAGTAAAGAGTAGCTTAGTGGCTACCAGAAGCTAGGGAAAGAAGGGGAGGGTGGGGGGATTAGAAGAGATTGGTTATCAGGCAGAGTCACAGGAGGAATAAGTTCTGGTGTGCTACTGTGCAGAAGAGTAATTATAGTTAACAATATGATATAGTATATTTCAAAATAGCCAAAAGAGGGGCTTTTGAATGTTCTCACGACAAAATGATACATTTTTGAAATAATGGAAATGCTAAATACCCTGATTTGTACTGTACCCCATAAATATGTACAATTATTATGTGTCAATTAAACATAAATAAAATGCAAGTTTAAAAAAACCTTCACTAGTGTTGATGGGCATGAAAGAATTTTCTCTTTACTAGAGTTAACTTTAAAGAAAGGTCTTATTTAAAATTCTGAAGTACTGTACACATTATAATTATACAAGTAAGCAAAAAATAAAGTGAAGTAAACTTAGTGAAGAATTAAAGAGATGCTACCTCTTTACTTTGTCTAATAATGCATTATGTGTAAAAACGTCTGGTTATTTCTGTCAATACAATGCTTTGAATTACTGTCTAGTTTCATGTTGACGTTATCTTAAATTTATCTTTAAGTCCAAAGACCAATAACATTTTTTAAAAGTTGTTTTTCGTATGAAATTACTAATATTTGAATTTTTGCCTACTCTATAACCTGATACATCAAACAAAAATACTGTAATTATGCTTTATGGTTTACATGCCTTCAAATAAACCACATATTAATTGAAATTTTATGTTTTTTGCTTAAAATAGTAACTGAATATTAGTTATTAATGAAAAAATATATCACTGATTCTGAAAATCCTTAGCTTTTGGTTTGTGTTCACATCCTCAGAAATATTGTTAAAGGAATAATTGGAAGGATTATAGAAATGGTGGCTCTTATACATTTATGTAAACAACAATAAGTATATATTATAAAGTAATGGCCTTATTCTGTAAGCTCTAGAGTTTTTGTTCGTTTCTTTGTGTGTTTGTTTTACAATATTATATACTGATGAGGTCCTTATTTTACATTTTGATAGAAGAATAGGTAAATACCTCATAAACAGTTATATATTTATCACATAGTGACCCAATCTTCCTTTTTGTCTTGACGTCCCAGATTTACCCCATGATAGGGAAAAGCACATGCAAATGGATATGTGTACACTCCCGGAAACATAAAATATAATGCTGCAAATAAAACTTCAGACAGCGTCTCCACTCCCCCTTTCCCAAGGTGTTTGTTATCTAGTAAAATTAAATAACCCAAACAATCTCCTTCCAGCAGGAAATCAATTCCTACGTAAGAAGTTACTATGCATGCGCCCTGTCTTGAGATTTTAAAGTTTTACTTTTTCATGTAGAAATATAGGCCATGTTGAAAACGATTAATTATATTTTGGACTACAGGAAAAGTATTTCTGGTTGGGTTGCTAGCTGATTTTAAATTTCGAAATGTCATGAATGGCAGGAGGACAGTCTTTATGAATGCTATTAAAGTCTTAATTTCTGACACTATAAATTATGTTGTTTGTAAGTTGTTATTCTCTGCCAAGAACACATGTGGCTGTGTGAATCTCATCATTGCCTGCATATGTTTGTAGTACAGTCTCTGAGCCACAGAGTGCCAGCCAATTTCTTTTCCCTAAACTTGTAATATTTTAAAGTTCCTGCCTTGAAGCTAATAAATGAAATTACTTCTCAAGAATAATTCTGGTTCTTGAATGAGAAGAAACCATTCAGTTTATCAAATTCCTTCTTGCTCTTCTTTTTTTCTTTTTTCCTTTTTGTCTTTTTTCGCGACCAGCAACGGATCGCAACCCTCAGTGTCGCGCCCGTACCAGACCGGGACCGGCAATGGG